GCCATGATGACAATAGATGCTGCTGTCAACAAGAAATATTTATGTCAGCTGTCGACGTAAAATAGGATAAGTTTCAATAAAATGTCGTACCTCGCGGTAAACTGATTCCGAGGCAGCGTATATTTACGACTTGGTCTACGACTGCCACTAAATCATAAACTGAAACCAACCTAACCTACAAAAGCGTCCCCTACTCCTCTGGAAACATGAGTTATGTAGTAAATAATAGTTTTAGGTTTTACGATATGTATATAAACCATGTCAAAATAATATATATATAGAGTTAAGAAGTGATATTTTCTCTCTGTATTACGGCTACCATACAGTAAAGACAAAAAAGTTATCTAAATATTTTTCTAATTTTTATGTATTTTTCATGACACTAAGCAGCACCGGTTTTAGGATTTATTTTTAAAGGGAAGCTCAGTTTTTATTTGTATTTATTTATTTTTTGATAAATTAATTATAAAAAATATTGTGCGTGCACAACTTTCACTTACCGCTCTACTTTGAATAGAAATTATTTTCTGGCAATGTTGGCCTATTATAAATTTTTTGAAGTGAATTTTAAATTGAGCTAAAGCTTAAAGCTTACAATTAACAAATCATTAAGACCATTAAAATAACAAAAAATCTATTTATTACATTGTCGGCAGACAATAAAAATCTATTTCCATCAGTTTTTATAAACCACATAACTTCAGTCTCTGAACCTTTTAGCTGACAGAATGACTAATTACAATTTCAAGATTTTTGAGTAATGTCATTTTATTGATATTTCTATTTGGAAAAGTTATATCTGTAAAGACAGTGAATAATTCGATTCCAGAGCAGGTGATTGCAGTGTTGAAATATAGAACTGTGAATTAATAATAAAGAAGAGAAGAATAATTGTTGTGATAGTCCTGATGAAGGCCTGAACTTCAGGTCGAAACGTCGGCATATGTAAAAAATAAATATTATCATTTATTTTTTGCCTTCCTTTTTGACTGACCACCCCAACTATTCTTCTCTTCATTATCCACGACAGTCAACCAATTACCAATTATAATAATAAAGAATGTTGAAATTGGGGTTAGTCATTCTGTAAACCGAAAGGCTCATATATGCCTAGAGGGATTTGAAAGTACATTTGAATATTTAACCTATAAATGATTATGGATTGTAGGACTATTAGTTATTAAACTATTATTTTCTATTTTAAAGTTTGTTAAAACAAAATTACGAAAATTTAATTATATAAAACATGATTACACTTATTCCACCGCATTTTTCTTTTTTTAAGAAACGCGTGTTTTTCTATTAAAATGGTACAAAAAACTTTTTGAAAAATTTATCAAGATTAAAAAAACATGAGGTATAATATCTTATTTCACGTATATGCATTTATATATGTAATCTGTTTAGAAGGTAAATAAGATTTTTATTGTTAGAAAAAAAAATTATCGAATTTCATAATAAGATATCTCAAGTTATCTTCCAGCATAAGTGCTTTTTATTTTTTTATTTCCTTCTATTATTCCGGACAATACTTATTTTATCGCACAGATGATGGAGTATATATTTATTAGTGATGTTAATCACAACAAATAAATAAGAAAATATGATGAAAAATAACGAAGTTATAGAATTATGACCAAACAGATCGAGTTTGAGACCAGTGTGCGTCAAGTTGCTGGTAGGTAACGTCCGAAATGGTATAACGTAAACATGATTATGATAAAAAAATATTATCTCTTAAAGTATTATTGTTCGTATAATTACATTTAATAGGACTTCAAGAATCACTTAAACACCATATCATATAGGTAGTATCTTTCTTTTTTTCCAAAGTAATTATTGTTATATATATGAAAAAAAAGCTTTCGGACTGAAGCCCTCCCAAAAAAATAAAATAATTAAATTCTGAATCTGCTAGTGCCGATTTCAAAGGGTTAAGTATACTTGAAAAACTAAACAGAGATGAAAATATCTTTAACTTTATTTCTACAGGTGATGGACGGATGATTTTAATATATTAACCATATAATATATATAAAAACCATCTCTAGGCAACACGGATTATTTTTCAGGAAAAACAAAAGAGTGAATCAGTCCAATCGCGATTTATGATCACCAACGAAAAACAGGCTATGCTTTTATATTATAGGAAGATTATCAATTTATTGTTATAATTCATAATTGGTAAATGGTTGACTGTTATGGATAATGAAGAGAAGAATAGTTGGGGTGGTCAGTCAAAAAATAAGGCAAAAATAAATTTATTTGCCTTCTTTTTTGACTGACCACCCCAACTATTCTTCTCTTCATTATTGTTATAATTAATATCATATTATATAAATTAATAATAATAACGAACGAATGTCGAATTAAAACTGTTATTATTGAGATTGGGATTATTACTATTAAAAAAAAATTAGGAATGTTAAATCATAAAATAACTTAACATTATTGTTTGCTGAACGAATACTCGGTTTTTATTGCAAAACGGATATTTTATTAGCGATGGAGGTTATTGCATTTTTTATTTATTTAGACACTTTATTGTTATTAAAGTTGCCTCAATAAATTCTGTTTTTATGACGCCATGAACCAGTTGGGTCAGCTGTAAAACGCCTCGCCATGTTCCGGGCTTTCCGAAACCTCCGACAATGTGTTCCATTTCGTGCCGCATGCTGCAGGCCGAACATTCCGGTTGCAGATTAGGAACTAATAGCTAGAATGTAGAATATGTTTTGCGTAACATATTTCCCTATAATGGCTAAAAGCGCATAATATACATGCTCCAATAAATGTGTCGTATTTTGGAATACTATGTGAGCTGTTGTACTAAACGTTTCAAATAAGATGTGATGACATATAGATATTTTGTCGGTAGAAATAATTAAACATAAATTTATTATGAAAAAGAAAACGTTTAATAGCCTCGAGATAGAGAGAGAATTTATTATTTTTATTCTAACTCATCTTTTTATCAAATTATTAACATCCGGCTGAAACTTCGTAGTTTCATCTCATTCTCGGATTCGGTACGTTTTCAATCTGGAGGTTGGCAAACTTTGTCTATTTAATTAGGTATTAAAAACTCGTAAGTGCCCACTTGCTTAACACTTTAATCGTCAGATAACTTGAACACAAAATCGTGAAAAAATGTGACCTTCAAAAATGTTGAGCCGTTTGACCTATATGACCTCTTTATTTTGATAATTTGGGAGTATTGTAGGTCACGTCAAATGACTCAATATTTTTGAAGGCTACATTTTTTCTCCACTCTGCGCTCAAGTTATCTTGTTATGAATTTTTAATGCCTATTTAAATAGACATTGTTTGCCGATCTCCAGATTGAAAACGCTCCAATTGCGAGAATTTTCGTAATTAAAATATTTATAGGTCAGGATGAGATAAACCTATTTACGAAGTTCAATGCGGATGTTAAAAAAAAAAAAAGTGGGGAGGTTCGGTACAACGGACTATACCTGTACTTAACAATTATAAACTTGCTTAAAAAAAAAAATACTTAAATTTAAATTGCGGTTTTAATATGAGCGAGGCTGCAGTTTCCAAGTTTATTACGGCTCATCATGCTCAAATAAGACGTGGGTTCGGTTCTACTCCAGTCTTATAACTTTCATTATGCGGCAGGTCCAGTGAATGAATCATGATCTTATTATGGTTAAAATAGATTAGTTACCTTAGCAAGTAGAATAGTTCGAAAGATGTATAGTTTTCGAATTACTAAAATAAAGTGGATAGGTTTCCACTGGAACCTGTGTGAAATAATTTTAAAAAGTGTTGAAATCTTAGGTTAGTACGTCCAGTATACAAGTTTTTGGGGGGCGGGAAGCCGGAGTGAACTAACGTAGACAAATACGCGCTGCTCGGTAACTTGATTAACCGAAGATTACGAGTTCGGATTCTGGCCCCTTTGACTTTCGTGTTGATCCCCCGCTTCCTCATCTGGCTCGGTAAAAGACGAGAAAGAGGAGAATAAAAAACTGTTAATTTTCATTGGTTTTATCGTTGTTGTTTTTGTTTTTTTATTTGAACTTTTTGACAAGGTTGAAGATAAGGAATTAAAAATAATGAAGAAAGATTAAGAATAACCGTAAATCAGTAAACATACCGTACCGACTTTATTTATTTATAACATATTATTTTGATTCATTTGTTTATCCTGTTATTATGCCTTTTTTTTTTTCTTCTGATCAGCTGTTCGATCACACAACCTTCCTAAGCTGTATTATCTTATCTTTCTTCCAGTATACGGTTGAAAGTAATGGAGCTTTTCTTTTTCTGTCTTGATAATGTCTGAATTGGCGAAACGTTGAAGTTCTTTTTTTTTTTTTTCTTTATCTGCATTTCGGAGACAGAGCTCTGTAGCTGGATTTTTTCTAATAATAGCCCAACATTGCTTCCTTGGTGTTTTCATTTTCCAAGTCCTCAGAATCAAAAACCCTCCCTACATCCTGGAACTCCTTACTCTACTCTCCTCTATCCACTCTCTCAATACCAGATCTCAACCTATAGACTTATATATTCCCTCCCATAAAACTTCCTCCTTCAGCAAATCCTTCGTCATTCGTGCTGCTTTCTTATGGAACTCACTTCCTACCTCCATGCGTCAATCCTCGTCCACAACTTCCTTCAAACAGCTCCTGTTCCAACACCTACCCCACATTCAAACTTTCGATAACATATAAAATAACTTGCATCTGTACACTGTTTAATTTCAATCTATTGCACAATTTAAATAACAATTAACAGTAAATTAGTTTGTATTTTTATTATGTCAGACTAAGACCCATAAGTTTGTAACTCTGTTATTATTCTTAGGAGACAGTAGTATCACAATTAAATATTTTTTTCATTTCATTGAATTTCTGTCCCTTTATGAGTTTTTTTTTTTACTGCTTTATATTTATATTTATTGTAATGTTATTCCTCCAATATACTTTATTAATACTCTATTATTATTATTATTATTCCTCTGGACGTTGCAGAACCGACCGGACAGCCTGGAGTGCCGGAGCGGGCCTGGCCCCGGAGAGGAGGCGGACTCCCCGACCGAGCTCAACAGCTGCCGCCGCCTTCAGGACAAGCCCCCCCTCGTGAAGAGGCTGGCCATGGGCACCACCCCCACCGAGGAGGAGCTCCTGTCCTCCCCGCTCATCATCTCCTCCAAGGCTGTGGACATGGACAACAACAGGTCAGTGTCAGCTGTAGGATATCTTGTATCTATAGGGTACATCGTAGGTTAAGAAGCGTGTCTCAGGTTAACTAAAGGTCTTGTATCTATAGGATATTGTCATAGGTTAAGAAGCGTCTCAGGAGTAGGTTCCTAAAGGAACCCAGGGGAAACCTGTATAAGTCGCTGGTGGGGTATCTATGCCAGAAGTATCAGACTTGACTATATTTCACGAGATAAGGCTTTTGGTTTCTAAGAGCGTTACGGTCTTTAATTTGGAAAAATTGTTTCCGCAACAAACTTGCCGGATGCTCAGTGGAGACGGCAGGTTTCGCAAAAAATAAAAAAAATAATCAAGAGTCAATTAAATATTAATAACTATCTAACAGGCTCACGATATTTAATTTGTTGAATTTGGAAAATAGCGAAAACCATTAAAATAAAAAAAATTAAATAAATTTAATTTAACAAAAAATATTAAGACGCGGAGTGAGCTACGAACTCGCAACCTTTGTGTTTAAAAACATATGTTAATTAACCTCATAACCTGTCGAACCTTCATACTTGGTTAATAATGGCTTTCCCTAATCCCTCGAATAGGGTTTTACAATTCCTCATTAAACATAAAAAAAAAATATAATATATACATAAAACATGAAAACAAACAGAAGAAAAATAACAAAATAAAACTCTTCGAGTTAATAAAAAAAAAAAACTAACAATTATTTTACGAACTAATTTTTTTTTTGTATTTTATTTTTCGTTATAAGAGGTTCAAATTAGGAAAAATGTTTGATTAATTTCGAGAGGGCAATATCTTGAGAAACAGAAGGAGCCTACAACAAGCGGGTCTACGGGAGAGGGAGGCTTTCGGGTCCCCCCAAAAAATGGTAAAATATTACCATATCTTATGAAAAAAATATAAAAATATGATCTCTATAAGTATTATTGTTCGTATAATTACATTTAATAAGACTTCAAGAATCATTTAAACACCATTTCGTATAGATAGTTACTTTCTTGCTTTTTCTTCCTAAGTAATTTTTGTTATATTTAAACAAAAAAGCTGTCGGGCTGAATCCCTTTCCGCCCCTCTCCTTCCCCCCAAAAAATGAATTGCTGGATCCGCTAGTGTAACTCTTGAAGTATTGGTGCCATCAAGTTGGGAAGACTGTTAGGATGACCATGAGGAGAGAAAGAGCAGCAAGATTCCCTAGTAGATCCTGACTAGTGAGTTATATGACAATAGAAGAAGAGCATGAAGGCCGAACATTAGCTCCAGAGTTGTGGATACATCGACTTGCTGAAGGGTTGTAGTGCCAATCATTTTGATAATTTTCATAGGTTTGCGAAAAAATAAAAATAAAATTATTTCGGATGACTGAGGTGTGGGTAATATTCGGACGAGTTAAATTTATGTATGAAATTAACATAAAAACGAAATACTCTTTTTCAAAAATGATACAAATTAAAACAATTCAATACAGAAAATTAAGAGGTTCAAAAGTCATATATACTGGATGTGTTTCGCAGCTGCTTATAATAATATATTTGTCTTTATCTTCATTTCCTGTAGACCGATTCCCTCTGCTTCTCTTATCAGAGTCTTTGTGAGTTTCTCTATGTTTTCTTGATTACTTCCAAGAACAGCTATATCCTCTGAGTGTCCAAGGATTTAATAATTCATCCCTACGTGCACCCATTCGTTTTCACGTGATGTTCTTATCACCATCTTCAGTGTTAATTTGAACAAGATCGTTGAAGGTCGATTTCCGAACAGTTCGAACTTCGAATGATACAGATACTACTTGTGCGTACTCGACATTTAGGATCATTGGGATATGCCTTCGTAAAGTTCACCAACTTTCCGAGAACTCCCAGTACAGTCCACGGGTGGATCTACGGGGTGAGGGGGAGCTTTCGGGCTGAAGCCCCCCCCCAAAATGGAAAAATATAACCATGTTTTATGGGGAAAAAAAATTTAAAAATACCTCTTAAAGTATTATTGTTCGTGTAATTACATTTAAAAGTACTTAAGGAATAACTTAAACACCATTTCGTATAGGTAGTTAGTTTCTTTCTGTTTTTCCAAAGTAATTATCGTTATTTTTATGAAGTAAAAAGGTTTCGGGCTGAAGCCCCTCCCAAAATTAAATCCTGGATCCGCTAGTGGTACAGTCATAATTTTCAAAAAAAACAGTTTCTACGGGATCATAGGCTGCTTTGAAATAACGCCTAGACATCCTGAGCTACTTCATAAAAAAAAAAAATGCTAGGGATAGACAGAGGTAAGAAGGCTTGTTAAACCGGTAAAAGAAAAAAAAAGGTGAAATTTTTTAATAATTATTAATATACGCAGTCCATGATAGATAAATCGTAACCTTAAAATAGGTAAATCTTTAGGCTCTTTGGTGAAGCTGCCTATGTAAAAATAGCCTTCACAGGAAACAGTCATAAATAATGCTCCATATTACCGAATAGAAAAAGAGCGCCACTGCGGTGGATAAAGGAGATAGTAAATCTAAAAGGAGTTTCCTGGAAATAACTTTAAATAATTTTATTTCCCTCCTTACTCTTGCCAACGGTTTATCTTAAACCGGTCAGTACTGACCTGCTTAGACAAAACTTCTTTACTACAAGAATACGGTAAATTAAATTTTCTTAATTTGAATCTCTTAAAGTACAATGAATTTAGTCCTTACGATTGCTTTACTTGTTAGAAATGCAGTAACTTGTCACTGTTTAGTTAACGTGCAGTAACTACAAATAACTTAGTGTTTATTTGCTAAGCTGATAATAGTTACTACTTTTTACTCTTATAGTAATTATTATCAGTTCTTGATCTTCTACAATCAGTGCAATATACAATCAAACTAGAAAGAAATAGCCCAAGGCAGACAGATGGAGTAGCCTTGTTGATTTTGGTTTATTTTCAATATTGAACCATTGTGATCGAACAAAAAAATCAAAAACTCTCCCTCAAATTTCGATTAACCACCTCACAAAATTTGGGTTTTTCTTTTCAGGATAAGTAGAATTCGAAAAACGAATAAAAATTTTTTTGTCCGTCCGCGCATTTTCTCCGAAACTACTGGACCGATTTGTTTCAAATTCGGATTAAAAATTAGGTGTCACCCGAGAATGATCCTTCTTCATCGAAATTTCTATCCTTCTTTTCCTTTTAAGATGGCGACCGAAAAACCTGCGTCGCTGTAGACTGTAGCGCCTAAACGATTGTACCGATCTCAATGAAACTTCTCGATGCCATTTAAATTTATCTATATAACATACTTCAACGAAAAGAAACTGGAAAAAAAGTTACGAGGAATGATAAAATTAGATTCCGAATAACTCAAAAAGTATACACTTTTTTGTCGGTATTATATTAGTTATTTAAAAGTTTTCGGAACAATTACCTAAAAAAAAACAAAAAAAAAACGTTGAAATCGTGCAATTAGGAGCTAAGATATGGTCTCTAGATATTTTTTATATCTTATACTGCAACGGTTATATAATGCTAATTTTGTTAGCATATTACTAATGATTAAAAACAAATGTTTAGTCCAATAATTGGAATCGCCTATTATTTTTGTTTCTTTGTCACTAGGAAGGTAATGTTACTTTAGATATATAATTGTTTGGAATTAATAAATTATTGTGAAATAATTTGCAGCGGTTTTTTTTTTTCGATTACCCACTACCAGTCAATGGCTTAGGCCGGCCGGAATCGAACCTGCCTCTCTAGACTATAAAATTTTAAAGTTTACGTATTAACAGCTCCCTGATAAAAATCTATTACGTACATTTACGTACAAACGCAGAAAATTTATAATTATAAGTCCTCCTTAAATTAATTCATAATATAATCGATCTATGTTCAACAATATCCATACCATAATAAAATTTTGTTAGAGATATTCCATTAAAAATTATCCCGAGACCCACCTGTTAGTGATCTCTGGAGTAAATCCAACAGAATTCTTAATGAATGCTGGTGTTATTAAATACATATCTGGGGACCAATATGGAAATGGATGAAATATTTCGATCAAGAAGATGTTTTTCTCGAAAAAATAACGATTAAAGCCCTTTATCAGTAAATTATAAACATCATTACAGTATTGTATATTAGGCCGGCTGGCTATCGAATGGCCCATAGCCCCATACAATGACTGAAAACAGGTCTATTAACGTTAGTGGCTCTCTAAGAGCTATATTGTGTAGATTATATCGTTCAGCAATCTCTCTGCTCCTTCTTGAGGACTTAGCTTGTATTCTGTTATATCTTGTAATTATTACAGTATTCTATTATTGTCATTAAATGAGATTCAATCGTTATTTACCTTTAATATATAAAGCTCAAGAAATTCTTTCTTTGAACCTGCTAATATCATTTAAAAAATGAGTGTTGCCTAGTGTTGCACACAAACAGACTTTTTTTTCATTCATATAATTTATAATTGTACTAAAATAAAAATATATCTAGTAAATGTGAACAATTGAACATGACTTGTTGAGAAATTATTCGCTGATAGCACTCTATCAATATATTTACATTAGGAGATCACGGGACCATCTTCTTTTCAAACGCCTCTGAGGGGTGTCAGGCTTCGAAGAAGAAAAGAAGCAAGGTTAGAAACGATAGGATTCGGATGGTTCTGAAGTTTATAATGCAAAGATAGGTATATGGATTAAGCTAAAATCGGAAACATATGGTACGTTAAGGTCGTTATGGATGATTTTATTTGTGATAGTAAGGAGCATTGAGAATTTTACGAAGGATTTTAGATTGTAAGGATTGGATATAAGAGGAATTCGATAGTTTATTGATGTCCCATAGCTCAACTTCGTAAGTCCAAATAGGCCTTATTATAGTCATATATATTAGTCTTTTGTAATTAATTGGAAGCTTAGAACTTTAGTCAAGTAATTGCTGAAATAGTACAATGATGAATATTTGTCTGAAGATTCCTTGTTAGATGTTTGTGCTAGAAACAGACATGGAACTATATTAGCTGAAAAGCATATTGGAGTTGACTTAAGAGAGAACTGTTATTTTCCACCGAAA